TTTTTTTTTAAATTCTAGGAACCATTTATGGACTTCTTGCTGGCATCCAGACTGAAATGTTTATGGATTTGCATATGACTAAGGGAAGAAGAGATACTAAGTAAGGAAGAAAGACTTTACAAAGTGTGTTTGTATTTTTTGTGACAAAGATTGGAAGTCACTTCTTTTTATCTTTTTCTTACTTTTTTCTTGCACTTTCTATTCTCTATTATTCTTTCCTTTTCTGAGTTTAGATTATATATTTTTTTAAAAAATAATGATGATTTAAAAAATGACATGATGGAACACAATACCTAACATTATCATGCCCCCATTCCCAGAAATAAGCTTGTATGTGCTTGATTGGCTAAGTCTCACTTGTTTTTTTTATTTTCTTGGGCGGGGCAGCAGTTTTTGTCAAATTGCTATAAACCTTGTTATAAGACCTAGCCCAATCCCCTGCTGCATCAACTGCTTTAACTTTGGGGAGACTGGATTCTCATCACTGGGGCTTGATGAGCTCAGGTAGTTTGAAAGGGGGTGCAAAACTCAGGCTTAGTCCCACATTTGACCATGGAACTCATTGACTGTCTGAGACAGATACTGAGTACACATATTGTAAAATCTAAGCTGTTGCTTGCTTTGTTTTTGTGCCTTCAAGTTAGCCTTGACTCCTAATAACTACATGGACAAGTTTCTTGACAATGTTTTCAGAAGTGTTTGCCCTTGCCTTCTTCCTAGTGACTGACCAAGCTGGCTTCTGTACTTAAGGTAGGATTAGAACACACTGTCTCTTGATTTATTAGATAAATTATAATTGCTAGATTTGCACATCACCGGAAAGCATAAACCATGGGCTGTAAGCTACAGCAGAGTTCCCTAACCTTTCCAGCTTCGTGTGGATCAACCGGGGGGGGGGGGGGGAGGTGAGATGATTCTGTGCAAGCAGTGGGCAAAAGTGTCCATGCAGCTCCATTTGAACGAGCACATGTCCCAGTGCTTACCCACTGCTCATGCAAGTGGGGATACACTTGCACTCACCCACCACTTCTATGGCCCTGTTCTGTCCCAACCTACGTGAGTCCTTGTTAAGCTCACAAGGAGAAACCCCTCTTCCAACAAGCAAGCTGGAACCGCAGGAAAAAAACAATCCCCTTTTATTATTCACAGACCTGAGTCAATGTCCAAGGCAAACAAAAACAGTTCACAGAATCTCAATCCTCAACACGAACAGTTGCCTTCGGCAACCAGCACCTCCCACACCTTCCCTTTTATTATGCAGCCAAGACGTGGCTTCCCAATGTCTTCTCCTTTGTCTTTGGAACCACCCCATTGCATTCCTCTGTCCTATTTTCTTTTCTTGCCAGCGTTTTCGTGCATCCTGGATATCTCTCAGCTGTGATTCATCACTGTCCAACTCATTCTCCCAGCACAGCTGTGTCTCAGCCTGAGCACGAGTAGAGGGGCCAGGCTCCTCCTCAGACTGTAAGTCTGGGAGCTCCTCAGAGAATTCCTCTGACTCTGATGTCACTCCAGGCCCCTCCTTCTCCTCTGATTCCTCAGACACAGCTGCCGGGTCCACTGGCTGGCGAGGAATCACAACAGGCCCAGTTCTGAATGGCTCAAGGCCCAGTAATGGGCTGCAGCCTGGGGGTTGGGGATCCCTAAGCTACAGCATATGCAAAGCCATAAGTTAGGTTTGTGGTAGCTTATTGTGTATTCATTTTACCCTTGTCATGCATGGTGGCTATGAATTTTCACACAACACACTGCAAGGTTCTATGAATATGTATTTGTATCATTTTACCCCCTCTGTGCATATGTGCCAAGCTCAGTTTTTTAACTGAGATTATAGGGCAGACATGTCAAACACAAGGCCCGGGGGCCGGATGCGGCCCGCAAAGTGGTTTCATATGGCCATCCTGGAAACAGTGAGGGAACGGCCCCCGCTGCCTTGGCCCTGGCCCAGGCCGGCTGGGAGCCATTGTACAATTTTGTGGTGGCCATCTATGCTGAAACGCATTCACAAGGCCATCTAGAAATAGTGAGGAACCAGCCCCTGCCGCGTCGGCCCCGCCCCCGGGTGCATGCTGGGGAGGTGTCACCCTTTGTGAGGAATGAAGAAATGGACCATGCCTTGGTGCTTGCCCCGGTCCCACCCCCTTCGCCAGAGACCCTCAGATCTTTCCCACTCCTGCCCAGACCCCCACAGGCACCCTTAATGCGAACGATGTAGAGCTGGCCATGCCCACCCAGTAGGCCACACCCACCCAGTCCCCCCAAGGGCAACCGCAATGCTGATGTGGCCCTCAATGAAATTGAGTTTGACACCCCTGTTATAGGGTTATTGTCTCACGCAGACCCTACCTGCATCTTAGCACATTGTAAACTTGGTGATATATCAGATCTTGTGGTAAGACATAGTACCCAGTGTCTGATAAGCTAGGATGGTGGCCATTTCGGGTCTTCACTTAAATCTGAAAAACCACATAAAGAGCCAAATGCAGGAGGAAGGCAATTAAAACAATGCTATGGTGCTGAGGTTGAGGTTTGTAAATGAACATTTGATGATGTCATGGACTGGGTTCACACAACATACAGAACTGGGGTTTCTTTCACAGGAGTTTGTTTAATGAGACACTATTGATCAGTTTCATATAACATAGCTAGGTTGATATACCTGCTGAGTCAGAAATCATTATGGCTTAACTTGAGGCTTTAGACTATCCATTATCTCTACCTTCACCCTGAAGTAAATTTACTAATGTTGATTGTTCTTATTTGTGGAAAAAGTTTCTTTTCTACCCTAAATTCTTCCATACGTCTGATTTTTAAAGCCTAAGGCAAAATGGTGCATATTATGTGAGTCAGGCAATAACTTATTCCCCAAATGTTCCAAGTTATTTTTCTTTCTTCTGGCACTCACAAAGTTGGTTGGCGAAATTGTTTCTTCGCCTCTCTATCTGTAATGCTTTTAGCTAATGTTCTCTTCTTTTCACTTGCTCTCAAAACAGCCCTGCAAAACAGCCAATAATATTACTATCTTCCAAATATGCACACTCTTGGGAAATAGTTCCTACATAAGAACGGATGGCATTGCATGGAGGCATGAACTCAAGTGCAGAAAGTTTTGTGAGAATGTAGAAGACCTGGATTGTGCTTATGCAAGTAGTCCTCGACTTACAACAATTCATTTAGTGACCATTCAGAATTACAATGGCACTGAAAAAAAGTGACTTATGACTGTTTTTCACACTTACGAATGTTGCAGCATCTCCATGGTCACATGCTTGGCAAGTTCAGATGCTTGGCAATTGGTTTGTATTTATGATGGTTGCAGTATCCCCAGATCATGTTGTCAGAAGGACAGCTGGGAGGACGCTGTAGAAATGAACTGAAGGCAGGCCGCATTTTGGAAAGGAGGTCTCTTTATTGAGTTGCCAGAAACTTCAGTGACAGCAGCATGTTTCTGAGGTGGCTGACAAAATGGAGTTGAGAGTGGGTGGGTTTTTATACCTTCTTTGGGGCTTTGTGTTTGAGGTGCCTGTTTTTGTGCAATGTGCTTTGACCTGTGCTTGAGTGTGCCCTTTTGGTATTCTAATTATTGTTGCCTGACTCCTATTGTGTCTTTGAAGTCATGTCCTGTCCTTGGAGCTGGGTGGGGGATGAGGATTTTAAGAGTCTTTGTTTTTCTAATCTCATCCAGCCCCAGTCTTCCTGAATGGATTACCAAATCTTCATTTCTAAAAGCTGGCTTGCTCAGTTTCTGCCTGGGGCAGGGAGACTGGGGGCTGTTTCTGCCTAAGATTTTTCTCCTTTAGGGGAAATATAATATTCTGCCTCTTTAAAATTCCCCAAAATATTTCATTCTCTGGAGAGGGTGCTGATATCCTTACAATGTGCTCACATTTTGTGACCTTCTGGCATGCAAAGTTAATGGGGGAAGTCAGATTCACTTAACAACCGTGGTAAGAAAGGTCGTAAAATGGTGTAAAATTCACTTAACAAATCTCTCACTTAGCAACAAAAATGTTGGGCTTAATGTGGTCGTAAGTTGAGGACACTTGTAGTCTGAAATGTACAAATCTCCACTCTTTCATCTGAGGCAGAAGAGCATATTAGAGAAACTCCATTTTAACAATACAACAAATTTAACCAGTGTCATTTTAGTGTACTTCAGATGCAAGAAAAAAACTTTCCATAGATGATATACTATTGAGCATGCATAAAATCCTGTTTGGTCTTTTACACATACGCAAAATTCCATTGGATGACATTCCTCTTTAATGGACACCCTTCTCTCCATTAATCTGTTAAGTTAAGGGGTTACTGTAGTCTGAATTATCTTTGGGAAATCTTCCCTTATAAATGCAGTAGCCCTACTATTCTTCTTTGCAAATGTTCTTTAAAATTAGGAGAAATATAAACTTAATTTTGTGCTGCTCTTTTTAATGTCTGGGTTTCTCAGTTTTCTTTTCCCCTTCCCTGTGAATTAAGAGTACTGATTGTCCAACAGATTGTCAGGGTCAGTTCTTTCACTCTATAAGTTCTAGCTAGTAGCAAAACCATTAAAGAAGCATCGCTTCTATCTTCTCTGTGGTTACTGTGCACTGTTTGTTTCCTACTGCTTTCCTTCCCCCCCCCCCCATTTTAATTAGCTGAAGTTGGAAGGTCATTCAAGGGGTAGAGAAACAAGGCTAGACAAACTCAAGCAGAACCCTGAAGCCAGATCCACCCTGTTATGCTTCCTTGTTCCATTATTAGGTATTTCCTCAAGTGGCTGATCACCTTTTCAAAGAAGATGTTGAAGCAAAGCCAGAGAACCTAGCTAATCGTCATGCCAATACTGTTTTACCACTTTCACAAAGCAGAATGGTGTCCTTCTGCAATGTCTTGGAACAGTTTTCACAGAGGCAGAATAGACTTTTGCAACGGGGACAATGATTTTTATGCCAACATGGTTTTGTCCTGACTCAGTGTGAATTGGATGGCACTTTAGTTTAATAGAGGAGAAAAAAACCCAAGAATGCAAAAATCCAGAACCATGACAAGTGTGCTTTGGATAAATGCAAATAAGCACAAGAGCCTTATAAGCACAATGCACTCAACAAGGCAGAATTTATTCACTCTATAGTGAGTGAATAAGCCTTGGTAGAACTCCTCTAAAATGGAGAAGTGGAATATCTAAATATTAAATGTTTGAAAGTTTATATGACAAAGGATTCCAGCAAATTGACACAAGAAGGTGAATCAGTATGATACAACTATACCTGCATAGATATTATAATCTTGCCAATTGTGGCATTTTATAATTTGGAATAATTTCACAACTGATGAGGGCAAATTGTGGATCTATCAATGTGTTAGCTGAAGGGTATCTGTACAGAGAGAGTCACATGAAATGATGATAAATATGTGGAACCAACCTGTATTTTTGTCTTTGTCTGTCTTTCTGCAGGGTGCAATGTGGGAGCCTCAGAATCATTCCTCATTGTGACCAGCTGATGGTGATCAAGAGCTTTTTGCTAAATGTGCAATAATAAAATGACAAATACATGATCCCCCTGAGCTTTTATATTCAGAGCTGATATAAGCTGTATTTATTTATTTATTTTTAGGAAAAAAAACACCATTCAAATGAGTAAACGGCTGGATATATTTAGATTTTATACCACCACACAAAAAATAATTATTTTAGGAGGTGTTGAATGAAGATTGGCTTTATGGACAATAAAAATGTCTGTCTGACAAAGCCAGATCAGGCCCACAGAGAAGATGCAAGCTTTGCTTCTTCTTATTTTTTTTAAATTGTGCAGTTATTCATTTTTGACACTTTGGTTTCTCTTGCACTATTTATTGACCAATTCTACTAGCTGGATTTAAGAGCGCCAGTCATCCTGAAGCTTTAGGAGGCTGGATTCTTATAGCTGACACTGTGCATGGTTGGAACATCAGTTTGGGATCTTTCTTCCACCTTGGTAGATTGTCTTCCAAGCTTACTCACCTTGTGACAATACCTGTATTCTTGCAGCCATGAAGAGAAGCAATGATGTTGGAACACGTTTGTTCTGAGTCTCTCAGTGGTTTCAGTTTGATTCTCCAGTTTCTTCAGTTGATTGGAACTTTATATTGGGGTGGGATTTTAAGGGACCCTGAGACGTTTGCCTTACCTTTCAGCATCTACCCGCTAAGTAGCTTCTCCTTCCTGTTATGCTTTGGTGGTGGTAACAACAGTATAACGGAGTAGTGCTAGGCCTATGACAGGGGTAGGCAATCTTGGCTCTTTTATGATTCGTGGACGTCAACTTCCAGAATTCCTGAGCCAGCTATGCTGGCTCAGGAATTCTGGGAATTGAAGTCCATGAGTCATAAAAGAGCCAAGGTTGCCTACCCCTAGCCCAGTGGTTCTCAACCTTTTTAATGCCGTGACCCCAACCGGTCGTAAGTCGAGGACTAAACCGGTCGTAAGTCGAGGACTACCCAACCGGTCGTAAGTCGAGGACTTTCCCTGCCCAGGAGCGCCGCGCATGCGTGGTTCCGCCCCCGCGCCGGTCGAGGTGTAGCTGGCAAGCGGCAGAGATGGAGCAGGCCGACCACCAGCTGGCCCAGCCCAAGGGAGGTAAGGCACCCGCCGGAAAAGGGAGAAAAAAATGGCGGATAAAAAAAATGGACAAAAAAAATGGCGGACAGCCTTGGTTGGCGACCCCCATAAAATGGTCGATCGACCCCAAATGGGGTCCCGACCCACAGGTTGAGAACCACTGCCCTAGCCTATGAGAACTGAGCTGCAAAAATCTATTTGACCATCAGATGGCAGTAAAGCAATACCAAAAAGGGAAACTGCAGGAACTGCTTTGCGGAGAAATATGATTCACTGCTGCCATCTAATTTTCATCCTGGTTATTTGCAGCCCAAATCTCGTAGTTCTATCAACACCCAGGGAGCTACCCTATTTTATCAACCCTCTAGTTGCAGTCAAACAATTGTTTGCAAATGACTCATTACAGCCACCGTGTAATTCTGTGTTGTGAATGTGCGGTTGGTGGGTACAGCACATGCACAATATGTGTGGGAGTGTGTGTGTGGGGGGGGGAGCGTTGAGCGGAAAGGAGGCTTGCTTTGCCCTCTGCCAAGATTCACATATTCAGACAAAGCCAATAGGAGAAGCACTTAAACCACTTTCATCAGCAAACAAATTGCTTCCAGACTCTATCCGGAAAGCAATGCCGGTTGCCAAAACAGCTTTTAAAAGGAAATGAGAGACATTCACAGAGAAAAGGGTCTCGGTGGCTGTTAATCTTAAGGGTGATATATTGCCTCCAGTTTCTCAGGCAGGGTGCCTCTCAATTCCAAATGCTCCAGCGTATGAGCTGGCAGATACTTTTGACCGATGGAATTCCCCTCCTGCATTTCTGACAAAAAATAAATAAATAAATGGCATTACAGTAGCTCCCAGTAATCAAACTGGATTCTGATTAAAGCACAGTTGTGCAACACAAGGTTACTTCACTGGCCTCTGCTTGGCCACTCTGAGATCCAGTTCATGTATGCATCCCCATCAAATATAATGGCCTTTGCAGTTATCTCTCACCAAAAATTCGACATGCTTGAACAGATTTCCTCCGCCTCCTCCTCCTCCTCCTCCCTCCTTTCTTCCCTGTGAATTCACCTACTCAAGCTTAGGATTGATACTGGAAATTCTCCTGCTGATCCATTAACATGGGAAGACTCAGCAAGAAGTCAGATTTTTTTTCTGCTTATGATCAGGAATGCAGGGAGGTATTCCTTATTCCTGCAGTGATCACTGTAACCTGCAATTTGTTTCTCTGTATTACAAGGTAGAGTAACCAGAAAAAGGTCTTTGAAAGGGGACTTCAAGCTGGTTGCAATATCTGTTCTATGCCGCTTTGCCTCTGTTAAGCCTGCCTTGATAAATTGGCATCTAGGACTAAAGAGAGCTCTGAAACCGGCTGGTCTATAAAAATAGTTCCATGTCATCCGATTCCTGGGTAAATGTCTCCACTTGGAAACACACCAGGTAATTGTTTAATCAAGTCACACACTACTTAATCATATTTTAAAAATAACAAACCCGCATTATACAAATAAGCTCCTTCTAAATGGAAGCAGCAGATTTGACACAAACATATTTGCAATTACAAGGTTGTTTTCTGGAGGTCAATGATTCCCACGATGAATGCCAAGGTACATCAGTGGGCCTCAGCTGGAAGGATTTGGGAAGAACTGAACTGTGCTTTGAGATAATCTCTTCTCTGCCTTTCCCCTTCTCTTACCCCTTTCTTTTCCTAAGTCAGTGCCCATTGCATTTTGCAAGTTTTGGGGCATCTGCAGCTGTTCTTTTTTTTCTAGGCTGGCAGTTGGGTTGTTTGTCTCTGATGCCTAAATCAATGCTAAAATCAAAGGAAGTTACTTGACTTTCTGTGAAACATTGCAATCTAGGTACTTTGTCTTTAATTTCCTGAAAAAGGAAAAATAACAGGTAGCTGCAGAAGTCCTGTTTTTAGCTTGGCCCACAGAACTGAAATGAGATGGTACCAACATGCCCTGTTAATCAAGCATTTGTTGTTTTGAAGTTTCTTTTCTTTTAATCATTTTCTCTAAAAATCAACTCTGTCTCAACGATCTTCTGTTTTGGGTTTTTCTCATTTGAACAAAGTATTTCCCAAAATGTAAGTCTCCCTGTGTGTATATTTCTTTAGTCGTTCACATTGATAGAAAAGGATACAGATATGTTGTAAATACACGGTTGAACATGGACAAACACATGGACACACGTATTCTTATAATGTTTCACGAGGCAGAGAAGATGTTGTTCATTTCTTGCCAACATTACTGAGAAATATTTTGCTGATAAAATGATGTGGAACTTATTGTTGAGTTTTTAATGGGGAAAAAAGACAAGAAAATCAGCATCGCTGCTTATTATTTTAATACTTCCATGTATAAAGGTTACCACTTTGCTTGATACTGATAGACAACACATCCTTCTGTACTGACAGGAATCCTTATTCTAAACCTATGCTGGCTTGTATGGCCCTTTTGTGGTGAATGCCTCAAGCAAAATAAGCAGAGGTTTTGCAAAAGCCTGGCCCTAGAACATTTTTAATGGGGAATGCAACCTATGCTTAAGGAGCTTTTACAGTCAGTGGGAATTACATGGAAATGGAGCTTGATGCATAAAATACTTGTGCACATGTTTCTTTTCCTTTTCTTTTGCTAACTCTGGAACCTGTTTCATGTGATCCTGATGCTCTCTCTTTTTCTTCACCCTGTGGCAGCAGCTTTCCCATGGCAAATGGACCAGCCTGCTATTTGCCACCAGCTTCTAAAGATGAATAACACCACTTTTATTTCTGGGTAAATGTGTCCATGGATTAGTGATGGTGGCCCCATGTCACTGCTTCCTGGTTATGCACATGACATTTGCACTCAGGGTCAGCCTGCTTCTAAGGCAGGGGTGTCAAACTCAATTTCATTGAGGGCCATATCAGCATTGCTGTTGCCCTCGGGGGGGGCAGGTGGGTGTGGCCAGGGTGGGTGCGGCCTACTGGGTGGGCGTGGATGGAGTGGGTGTGGCCTACTGGGTGGGCATGGTCAGCTCTACATCGTTCGCGTCAAGGGGGCCTGTGGGGGCCTGGGCAGGAGTGGGACAGATCTGAGGGTCTCTGGCAGAAGGGTGGGACCGGGGCAAGCGCCAAGGCATGGTCCATTTCTTCATTCTTCACAAAGGGTGACACCTCCCCAGCATGCACCCAGGGGGCGGGGGCGACATGGCAGGGGCTGGTTCCTTGCTGTTTCTAGACGGCCTTGTGGAGCTAAGACTAAATGTGTTTCAACATAGATGGCCACCACAAAATTGTACATTGGCTCCCGGCTGGCCTGGGCTAGGGCCAAGGCAGCGGGGGCCGTTCCCTCACTGTTTCCAGGATGGCTTCGCGGGCCACACTTCACGGGCCGCATCCCGCCACTGGGCCTTGTGTTTGACATGTCTGCTCTAAGGCATCTTCACCACTCAAGGGTTGAGGTTTCTATACTGGCCTGAAATATCTGGATGACGACCATTGCAACAAGAAACAGGGAAAGTATTATCGCTTAGCGGGAATCTATTGGCTGTCTAGATTTTTTCAGACAGAATATGGTAATCCTGCCAAAGGACATCTAAACAATGCAGGGCAGGGGTGGCTGGATGGGAGGATTTTGTGCTGAGGACACAGGTGTAAGACTTCCATCAGTCCTGGCCTTCCATTAGGCCAGGAGTGTAAAAATCGCAACGTCACGTGACCTGTTGCAACGTATCGTGACTTTTTTGCCATTGCCGGCAATGGGGTGGGTGCGGTTTTGCTATGATGCATCCGGCCCGCGGGCCGGCAGTTTGACACCCCTGCATTAGGCAATCTATTCTTGCAGCAAGCAAACTGGCTACAGAACTTTCTAGATTTGTCTAGATTTTGAAATGAAACATGTCAGTAAAATTCAGCCTCGGAAGCTTCCTGGAACTGCTTTTCTTGGAAAGCATGGAGGAGTATGCTTAGCTTACTGAAGAG